TCTTTTTTTCTATTTTTTTAAATTTTTATTGTGATTTGGGTGAAAGTTTACAGAGCAAATTCATTTTCCATATAGCAGCTCACACACATTTTGTTTCATGACATTGACTGCCATCCTCATAATGTGGCTCTCTTCCCACTTCCTCCCAGTGGTTACCTCTTCCTTGTGTTCATCCTTCCAATGCATGCCTGCTCCCTGAGCTATCTTCCTGTGCAAATGCAGCCCTTCTGGTCTCCCACGACTTTCTCATTTCTTAGTATCTATCTCGCTGTCTCTGTTTCTATCTCCCCGTCTCTCTCCCTGTGAGGTAAAGGGCCTAGTTTTACCCTAAAGTGCGTGGCCTTTGTGCTTGGCCCTGGAGAAATAACTCTTGGAGGACTTGGGGTGCCGTGGTCTGGGACTTCCAGGATTTGTGCTGACAAGTGGAGGCTTGGGCAAATCCAAGAAGACCCACCTGGGAGGCTGCTATCAACCGGCCTCAGGAGGCCTGATTTAGCCGATCACACAGGACTGTCTGATCAAAGCCCTGAATACTGAGCCTTGGGGACCTTCCTGTCTGGTGAGAACGTCTGCTTCTGGGAGGGTAGCCTCGCCGTTGGGGCATGGAAACTGCACACTGGGAATCCTCCCAGACTCTCCCGGTGTGTCCCTTTGTTTGCAACCTTTTTGCCTATAATAAACCTGTAGTCTTAAATAAAACTGGGGAGTACTTATAACCCACAAGGGCATGGGAGCCAGCAGTCAGAAAGCTGGGGTGTCGTATGGACTCCCCATCCTTGTGGCTGGCATCTGCCTCTTTAACAGTCTGAATAATGTCCTTGTGACTTGTGAGCTCTACCCAGCTCCAGGTGGCTAGGGTCAGAGAGTGTCAGACAGAGGTGTGCCGGGGGCGACTGGTGACAAGGACGCAGAAGTGGGAACGTGGGGATAGGCCTCATGCTGGTCCTTACTATGCATGTCCTCGTTCCATCCCCTCTCTGTAGCCCCCAGCCCTGACGGACTCACAGATGACGAGACCTACACTCAAGCTTGTAGACTGGCGCCCTTTCATCCATGCAGCAGAAGGCTGGGGCTGTTCCAAGTCACCCAGAAGCTTAGGCCTTTGTCAGGCTTGGAATCTGAGCCCCACGAAAACATGAGGTTAGCTCAGGTGCTGGCCCTCACGCACCCTGCCCCAGCTCTCACTCAGGGGTGTAAGTGGAGGCTGACTAAGACTTCCAGTCCCTGGCTGGGCTGCTCTGAACTGGAGACCCCAGTGGTGTGACCTGCAGCCGACAGACGGCCACTCACCAGTGTCCAGAGGACGTAGATGGTGAAGAGGGCAATGGTGAGGGCGATGAGCCCCACGGCCTCCAGCCGGCTGTGGAGCCGGAGGTGGTCCTGAGCCCCGCGCAGGCACAGCCAGCCTGATATGGCGGCCAGTGGTGTGATGAACAGGAAGCACACCATGTCGCAGCACAGCGTCCGCTTCTCCGTGCGTGGCCCCGGGTCTTTCAGCCACTGTGGGGGAGAAAGACAGGAGGGAAAGAAGTGCTGCCAAGGGGGCTACATGGTGTCTCCAGGCCCTTGGGCTCTCTCTGCTGATACTCAGGTCTCACTATGCCCTGCCTGGGGCTCCAGAAACCACTGTTCCTTTCAACGAGATCTGCAGGGCCGGCCATACCTGATCACCTCCCTCCTCCTCTTCCTTTCCTTCCTCGCTCCTTTCTTCCCAATATTTATGGAGCCTACAGTGGGCCAGGCCCTGCTAGATGTTGAGCATCTAGCTATGAATGGGATAGAAAGGGTCCCTGGCCACCCAGAGCTCCCATGCTAGTCGGGAAAGGTATAGAATGGGGTGAGTTTTCAGAGGGGGCACAGCCTCGCCGAGGAGGTAATACGTAAGCCTCATGAAGGGGGGCAGGCGGCATCCCAGGCTGCAGGCATAGCAGTGCAAAGGCCCTCAGGTGTGGGTGTGCCTGGACTGGAGCACAGGAAGCCAGGGGGAGAGCAGAGGGGCAGAGCTCGATTTCCTTTGACTGCTCGCCCTAAGAGCCTGGCTCCCAGGGTGGATCTGGGGCCCCCAGCCTCTGGGCTCCCTATCTCAGCCCTAACAACACCTCTCAGCCACCCTGTGCCAGGCTGGCAGGAAGGCACTCAGTGGGCATCCAGGCAGCTGATGGTGCTCTGGGGAGCAGCCAGGTGTCTGCCATACCTGGGGACCAGTGCTGTCTTAATCCTGACCTACCACACTCAGGCTCAAGTCTCACCCCCTCAGCAAGGTCCACAAAGCCCAGGGTGGCCTCCACCAACTCATTTCTCCACTCTAGCCCTCAGACTTCTTCCAGAGCACCAAGCTCTTCCCGGCCTCAGGGCCTTTGCATGTCCTGTGCCTATGGCCAGGACTGCCCTTCTCCTGGATTCTTGGCAAGGCTGGCTCCCTCCCATTCCTCAGGTCTCAGCTGGCCTCGGCTGAGCCCCCAAGTTGCCCCCAGATAAGCCACTCTCCCCCGACCTGCAACATGATTCCCCCACAGTACTATTGCTCCAGGCCCTCAGCTGCCTCATTTCTGTGACTGGGCTGGGAACTCTGTGAGCACCAGCCCCATCTGTCTCGTTGGTGGCTGTCCCCATGTCTTGCACAAGACCAATCAGGCACCCCCATCACCAGGATCTACCTTATAAAGAAGCTGCTTTCCCATGTCACCAGGAACCTCCAGGGCCCTCAAACCTGCCTTCCTTCCCACTGTCCATCCCAACCTCAAGCTCCCAAGGGTACCTCTGTGAGGGGCCGGGGCCGCTTCTCCACTGCAAACTCTGTGTGGCACAGCTCACAGTAGTTAGTGTTGGACGAGGACAGCCACCTCTCCAGACAGCTCTTGTGCACGGCGCCCAGCGTTCCAGTACAACCACATGGGGACAGCAAGCTCTCCCCATTGGCTCCCTCATGGCAGATCCGGCAAAAGGGACCATCGCTGAACACAGGAACAGGACATGTGAGCAACGACCAGGCTTCCTGCTCTTACCTGCTTCACTATTTGCTGGGTGTCAAGCTCACAGTTCCCTACTCCTCCATGTTGCCACTTGGCAAGCTTCCACTCATCCTTCAACACCCCACTCCAAATGTTTCCTCCTCTGGGAAGTCTTCTAAGACTCTCATAGGTGGAGTGATGTGCTCCCTCCCCCGGCTCCTGTGGCACGTTTTTAGGCCCACAGTAAGGGTATGTTGTACCTGACTGCCCAGCATCCACTACCCCCTTTTCCAGCTAATATCATCTTGCTTGTCCTGGGTAAAAACCCCACCCCTGACTCTTGGTCCCAAAGACTAAGGCAGAGCTGCTGACACCCTGATGACCACAGGCCTAGCGAATCAGAACATTACACACCCTGGTCAAGGGGCCAGACTTGGGGAAGGGCATATGTGATGCAATCCGACCTCTGGGAATCAATTCCTGATATTTCTTTTTCCCCCTTAAATGCCAGCACTGCAGACAGTAAGGCTGATGTAAGTCCGGAGCTGCTGACAGCCACCCGGTCTCCACGTGGAGTCTGTGAATGATGCCAACCCAGAGGAAAGCAGAGCCAAGAGACGGGAGAGACGGATCAAGGACATCATTGGAGACCCTGGATCCAGCTGCACCTGAAGGTGCTGTTGCCCGAGAAACCTCTGAGTTCAGGGAGAAGAGCCCACTTGCCCCTCTGCCCTGGCCAAGGGGAAATAAACACAAAGAGCCTTCTGCAGAAGCTTTCCTGGGAATGCGTCTAGGCCACAGAGTCCTTCCTAGGGTAGCTCAGGAGGAAGGGGTGTGGCCTTGGGAGGCCCAAAGCCACACTGCACATGAGTCATTGTTTTCCAGACTTTTTTTGCCCAGAAAGGGACTTGAGGATGACACAAGGCAGAAGAGTCTGCTGAGCCGACAGCTGTTTTCCAGATAACGCCTGCTTCCCCTAGGCACTGTGGAGTGACTTTTGCTATTCCTCCTTCCTGGCTGCTTTAAAACTAAAAAGCCCCTGAAGCAGCCCCTCAGGCCTGCCTTCCCGAGTTCCTGGGGGCCTGTTTGTTCCACACTGTCACATGGCCTGCCCTGGGGCTCCATTCGGACCCCATGCAGTCACCCCACACACTACCCACACACACCACCAATCATCACCCCACAAAAAAAATTAACCGGAAAGAAACCCCTGCTCCAGAGACCAACTCAGAATCATATGTAACCTAGAACCCTGAGGAAGGGCCCCTGAATTTGGAATTTGTCCTGGAAAACTGGAAAAGCAAGTTCGGAGAGGAGGAAGAAATAAGACTTAACACTTAATGAACATTTACTATGTAAACCAAAAACCAAACTGGCTGCCATTGCGGTGATCGGACTCATGGCAACCCCAACTATGTCAGAGTAGAACTGAGCTCCACAGGGTTTCTTTGGCTGTGACCTTTCCAAAGCAGACAGCCAGTCCTCTCTTCCAAGGTGGCTCTGGGTGTGTTAACCATTTGCATCACCCAGGGACTCAATCAAACGCTTAACTCTTTGCCACTGAGTTGATGCTGACTCATCAGAACGCTGTAAGACAGAGTAGAGCTGCCCCATAGGGTTTCCAAGGTTGTCAATCTCTACAGAAGCAAAGCCCAAATCAAACCGACTGCCACGGAGTCAATTCCAACTCACAGCGCCCTAGGGGACAGAGTAGAACTGCTCCATAGAGTTTCCAAGGCTAGCAATCTTTCCTAAGCAGACTGCCTCATCTTTCTTCCACAGAGCAGCTGGTGGGTTTGAACTGTTGACCTTTATGTTAGCAGCCAAGCACTCAGTCACTCTGCCACATAGTTCCTTACCAAATGCAGCAAATCCCATTGCAGGCACTGTGTGTAAACCACAGCACCATATTCTTAGAACTACCCAATGAGAAAGGTGTCCTCACTTAACAGACACTGATGGGGAAGTAACTTTTCCCAGGCATTCTGAGAGAGGTGTCTGCTGCAGATTTGCACCCAGGCAGGGTGAGAGCAGAGTGGCGCACACAGTTAAGTGCTCGGCTATTAACCAAAAGGTTGGCTCTACCCAGAGGCCCCTTGGAAGAAAGGCTTGAAGGCTTGGCAACCTACTTCTGAAAAATCAGTCACTGAAAAGCCAGTGGGGCCCAGCCCTGCTCTGATGCACACAGGGTCACTGTGAGCTGGAGGAGACTTGACAGCAACAGGTCTGGGTGTTTGGTTTTTAGGATGAGTCCACATTCTGCTCTCCTAAGCACCTCTCTAGCCTCTCACCCCCAGCCAAGACCAATATTTGCTCTTCAGATTTCACATAATAATCTGAAATTTGACATTTCCTGAAGAAGGAGACCTGGCCAGCCTGTGCCTCTGTTTCCACATGGTGATCACTGTTTAGAGCTGAGAAGCAGCCACCCACTCTCTAAGAGCCCCACTGGGCCCCTTCCTCAACCTTCTAGATGGCTGGGTTTCTGTGGTGCAGTGAATTACTTAATATGGCCCTTCTAGCCATGTCTTTGTGATACTGTGTGGGACCATGCAAATAATGTGTATGGAACCTGTGATGGTTGGGGTTATATGCTGTAAAAATGACAAGGGGACTCAAATTACAATAAAAAAATTTTTAAGAAATGATATGGGGGAGGTGGCATCTGATCTCCTTTAACCTCACAAAGTGGGGAGGAGGATCAACATCAATATCAACAGCCTAAGGTTGATTCCTATGAGGAATTTAATCTTTCTACCAATTCTGACACCAACTGACCCTCCTACAACACTCTACTTCCCTGCTGTCGATAATTCATTGCATTGCAATGGCCACATAGAACCCATAGATAATAGTCACGATTATGGGGTTTATTAGGGAAGTAACAAGTTACAGTTCAGGTTCAGGAATGCTCAGAATACAGTTCTTCAATTAGGACAGCCTCCCCTCAGCCATCCCCAGAGGCAGGTACTCTTTCTGGCCCTCGGGCCCTTGTCCTGGCCTCTGCCCTGCTTGGGTAAGGGTTACAAAACTCTTTTAGCTACGCTGATGGGTGCTCAGAGAGGTACCTCACTCTGCCAGAAAGCCTCCTGCCCAAAGGCACTTCACCTGCTCACCCCGTGAGCGGGGAAGCCCACTACTCTGTCTTGTTCTGGTTTCTTGGTTCTGCTGCCTCTGCTGCTGCCACTTCTCTGCTGTTGCTTCTCGTCGTCTCTCACTATCTCTGGTGTCACAGCTCTCTCTCTCCTGGATCGAGAAGGTTTAGCACAGAGTTCTTGGAGCCACAGGACACACTCCACACTCGGCTCTTTTTTTTTTTTTTTTAAATTGTGCTTTAGGTGCAAATTTACAGAGTAGAATTTGTTTTACATTCAACATTTCGTGTACATTTGGTTTCACTCCCGATTACCATCCCCAGACCTAACCCACTCTCTTCCTTTCCCTTCCCAGTGACTCCCCTGGCTCTTTTTTCTCGATGGTAATGAGATGCCCCCTTTCTACCTCTGGGATGGCTCATTTTAAGCCTAGAGGAAGGGCAAAACTCACCAATCCCTATATTAGAGTTCTATATACTTTATTTGTATGGTCCCATCCCACACAAGAGTGCCATGCACCTTATTTATATCATTAGCAAGCTACCCAATCCCTTTGGTGGGTCACAAATACCTCACATTTGCATAGTTGCACCCAGTTATCTGGTGGGAGTCACAAAGACTATGGCCAGTAGGGTCTATTAAGTAATTCATTGCACCACATGTGTCAATCAGCTAGGCCATAATTACCCAGTATTGTGTGGTTGTTCTCCATTTTATGATTTGATCTAATTATCCTCCATTTTGCGATGAGCTGTAAATCCTAGCCTCTATGCCTGTGGTTAGGAACTCTGGTAGCGTAGTGCCTAAGGCACTAGACTGCTAACCAGAAGGCTGGTGGTTCAAACCC